TCTGTGTATATGATAAATTTGATTGAGCAAGTCTTTGTATCATAGAAGGCCATGATAGCAAATTAACAATATGATAAACATTAATGCATCATTCTCAGATATTTGTATTGTTACTCAGATATCCAATTTGTTTAATAATCCAAGTGTAGCTTTATTCTTCACTTTGAAGTGAAGTACTCCTTCTACTTTACTCCATAAGCTTAAACGGCGGGAAGACGCGGAACATAGTTATCAGACCTGCTTCATGAAGAACGCCAGCTTTCGTGTTTTACGCTGACCAGAGCCCAATAAATCAATAAAGAACAGTACGAGGATCGACCGAGGCCTTCAAATTACTTGTTGATTATTTTCTGCAGAAACTATCTCATATCTAGAGAGCAATTATTTAGTGTTCTGTCTGACGACAGGTCCATATGAACAGGATGGTTTAGAGAGGCAATAACGTCACAGAAATTAACCTAGCGTGTGTACATCCAACACTGTATTAGCAAGTACAGACGTCACCGATTCCAGTAGAAAAAAAAAACATTAACGTGGGCCGAAGCTTCAAGTTGGCCGTGAGGACTGGAGAATTCTCATTTCCTCTGTCATCACCCATAAACTAAGCAATTAATTTAGAACCCCGTCTAATTAAACAAAGTGAAAGTGTTTGTGCAGTTGGCAACTCTTTGATGACAAAAACATGCGAGTCTCTCCAGGGTACACTTCCGGTTTGTCCCAAAAGGTCTTCACAGCGAGTAATATTAGTGAGTGAAACTTAACAACCGAAGTGAGGATCAGGCAGTTTGCTGGACCCACACTTCGGATCGAACAGTGGTTCTGTAATTCTATCCGATGCAGTTGATGGAGTATCATTTCGAGTCATATCGATATTCAGTCGATACTGTGTCGAGTTACATGAATAAAACATGGCGGTTGCGAAGCACCAGTCTGTTATTGATCGCAGAGTTCGGCAGATTCATCCATTTGTCACGAACCTGTTAACTTCTTGTCTTGGAATTCTAATAAACGTCCTACTTTACGAAGCGAGGTTTTAAATGTTATTAAAGTACAACCTCCGTGGTGAGGAGTACGTCCTGAGAAGCTGATAGTCGATCAGCTACTCAACTTCCCGTCTTTTATGGAGATCAAATTTTGATTACTGTGTACTTCGTAACTCACCCCTGGCTCCTATCCGATCAAGATTAATTCAATTCAGACACTACGCCCTATTCGGGAATAATTCGTGGTGCAGATTAAAAATTACGAAGCTCCTCATTATGTAATTTTATCGTTAAACGCTGAGGACTATTCAAATTTAAAATTCGATCAGGTAATCGTGAAGTCGTCGTGTTATGAATATCGTTGGCTATCAAGCATTACAAGGTTCTACTATGGTAAATCTTCCACTGTCTCCCATTGCAAAGTTCACGCTTCAGAAAATAAATTATAAAGCATAGTTACCGCACAAGTTACAAATTCAATTCTGTTCAATAACTGATAAAAATCACAAAAAAAAATAATGCGTTAAAAATAATTCAATTTTACGTGAACCCGTTTGTCTAACATTTTTGGTAACATTCCAGTAGATTTAAATAAGTTCTACTTGGCAACCAGGGAATCGGTAGAAAATGGTATGGTCTCACGTCTTAAAAGGTCGAAGATTAAAGCTCAGAGGTTTAATGAATTCTTCTTGGGCTGAGAGCCGTGTCAAATGGTTTAATGGGAAAAACACCATCGTTTCGAGAACCATCTTCGTCCTCGTCCTCAGGGTACTCAAGAGGTTTGTTATAATAAACTTACGATTAAACTCACGCATATTTAGTCGGGAACATCGTTTCTGCTGCAGAATAACTCATAAATATTTCCTCGATAATTAAAGAAATTCTGGAGAGAGTCTGTTTGTAATTTGGTCTGCACATTACCGCATTACATTGATAAAGCCAAATAATTAATAATTCTGACAATAATACTAAAGTGTTTTAATAGTCTTGACAGAGAGGCTATAATAACTTACTTACGGCGTATATTAACAAAACTAAAAAAAAAATTAACAAACACGAAACTTCTCATTGGATTTTAAAGTTATACATGGCAGACGCAGAATATGGAGAAAAGGTCACATTTTACAATGGGGATTGGCATAAACTCTCAAAACAATACGAAAACGTAAAATAAATAATACTCTAGAAGTATTCGTTTTCGAGATATCGTGGTATGAAGAAATCGTCAAATGGGGCAACCCAACATAAGCAACAAATAAATTTGTTGTGACGCCGAGAGACGCGTGGAAGTTTGAATAACTACAGAGAAAACCGTGGCTTGCCGACGCAGAACACGGCAGAACTTTAGAGCGCGGTAGTTCCAGTGTCCACCACGCATTCACCGACAAGCAACAGCGCCTTGAACGCATCAATGATCAAACAGCAGCATGAAAACTTTTCTGTGAAGTCTTCCATGTCAGTCGGCGGATTCCTGCAAATAATTTATTTCTGGTTTACCCCAAAGGAATAAATCTAGAGGGTTCAAGTCCGGCGATCTTTCAGGCCATGTTACACATTCGCACACCAGCACTCGAAAACATGGATAGGGGTGTGGTGGCACAGAATACACGTCGTTCTCAATCCACGAGCAACTGCCCGAGAGTTTCTTGCGCTGTCCAGTTGGTCCTCCAGCAGGAAGACCTGTATCCATACTACTACTCAAGGTTTCAAGGTCTCGTGATTATCACCATCCTCTTGTCCAGGTAGCAAATCACATTATTTTGTGGATGGCAGTGTGCTGGATACATTTCTCCAGAGTAGACGCTGTTACCATAAGCACCAAGGGTCAAATTATTTTATTTAGTGTTCTGTCTGACGACAGGTCCATATGAACAGGATCCTTCCATCCTTTTCTCGGACTGGGACCTGTTCATATACGTTCTTGGCAGATGATCCAGCAGTGGTTTGCCATTGCCTTCTTCTGTGTGTGAATGGAGTAATGGTTGGGATGCCACGGAGAAACCGGGGAAGCCCCCGGAGGAAAACTCCTTGTTGCCTAGAGCACGGCCTTGCCCAACACAAGTTATAAATTCGGGGCACCGCCGGGAATCGAACCCGAGACCCCCCAGGATTACAAGGCCAGCGTTCTAACCGCTAGACCACCGTGGCTCTGAACGGTCAAATACATATCAGTATTTGTTCAATGTGAAGTTCATTTCACTTACCCTTGGTCCTCCCACAGCGTAATAAATGTAATTGCCCCGTTCGATAGCTAAAAATTAATTCTAAATAATTCTTCCTTTTATATCATCGTCTTGTTTTGAGGTTTTCTAACTCTTCCCGTTGGTTACATGAGCCATTTCTTCACATTCTGTATATCAAGTTTTCATGTAGTTGATATTGGTTCGTTTGTGACCTACTATATACAGATGTTGACGTTCTACGACGGTAACCCGAAATAATATAATTTCACAGCTTTCTTGTCACAAATATCCTAAATATACAGAAACTGAGATAACATCGACCGTAGAATACGTGGTCGTACACCCCAGCAGGCCCCAACACAACTTCAATTACCATACAGAATTTATATATAGCAGTGTGGATTGGGTTCATATGGCTCAGGATATAGGCCAGTGACAGATTTGTGAACATGATAACGACATCTTAGGTTCCATAAAAGGTGGAGGATTTATTGACAGATTGTGTCTATAAACTTCTTAATGAGTACTCTGTCCCATGGAGTAAAAGATGAAAACCACGAAAACCTCGACCAAGTGAGCCAATTTCTAGGCCGAAATATATGAGTACTCTGCCCCATGGAGTAAAAGAGGAAAACCACGAAAACCTCGACTAAGTGAGCCAATTTCTAGGCCGAAATATGAACCCGAGGTCTTCCAAACAATACGCAGGAATGTTAATGAGTCAGCCCCCAACGTTCGGTAAATATAATTGCTTCTATAGTTCATGTCAAGTATAGCCTAATCGTATTTATACTGATAGCGGTCTATTTTCACAAAACAGTTTTGAAAAGTTTTACCGTGTCTTTATGTAAAATAGGGATTATGTTTTAACAATACGGACCAAAATCAAATTCGCCCCAAAACTTTTAGTGTTAACCCTAGTAGTCTTCCAAAGTCACTGAATAAGTTTCCTTCATTTCCAGATCGCCTTCTTATCACAAAGTGATTCTTATTATGGGAGAGAATTGTTATTAAACAAATTCTAGCCTTGTCGCCTTCGTCTCTCTTATTTTTAAAATATAAAACGCTTTAAGTGCATCCCTTCTGTGCATAGCAAGGCCTATTTTTCATGTCACAAGTGGTTAGTGTAGGCCCTCACTTTTTTGGGACCCATTCAACTCTATTTTTGTTTCGAGTTACGAGCAATGGTACCGACTTTATTCGCATATTATATATAAATAAATTGCGTGATATGGAAAGACTCACAACATAGGCAGCGACCCCTTCAGATATCAGTTAAAACGAAATTTCGTAATGTATTAAATAAATAACACGTTACACTCACTCAATTTACAAGCAATGTATTTGTCTGTACCCATAATTTCCCTTAAAGTATGATTCGTAAGCCTAGCCTACTTCCAAAATGATAAAATTACCTCACATTTCGTTACACAACTCGGCGTTAGAACCCCAATTAAACACGGGATTAGCAAATTAAATTGCTATATGATCCAACGCCTATGTCATCATCTCATGCATGGCTTGTAGTTTCAGTATTAGATAACAGCCAATTAACCAAGTTATTAATTACATCGCTTTCCTCAGCTATATGCATGTGTAAGACCTGTTTCTGCGTCTGGTTGGCAGTACGATCTAACATCTTCCTAAAATTACGTGCACTGAATACTTCTTATGTTTTGCTCGAACTAGACGCGCACATAACCTCTTCAACGGAACATCTCCTGTTAAGAAACATCGATAGAACTCCTTGATGCGACACGCGATTCACTCCCAGTCGGAACTGACGTCACAGCATTTTAATTTCACAACAAATAATTGGCACTGCAATACTTACTTTTGTTGATAATGTGCTGGCTATTATCCCTGGCCTCCACCAACGAGTCGCTCACTCAACAACTAACAAACAATCAAGAGCTCGCCTGATTCACAACTACCGCCGCAAAAGTGTTACCGCCAGTTGCAGATCGAAGTATCCAACTGCACCACCTCCTGCTTCGCGATGCCCTGTTTCAGCCATTTCCCCCTAGATGGCTCTACCTACTGAGGCATCAATGTCGATACGCCTGTTATCGACCAATTTCTGTAACCATACGATACAAAGATTGAATACTTTACCAGTCACGAATCCCCTCTCCTAAGAAGATACTAAAAGCTTTGAAAGAAAAAGGTTAAACAATATTTTTGCTGATATGGATGCAATATTATCATTTGATTCCCACATTCAAAGTTTATCAGGCAAATATATGCCATTCTTTAACTGTCCTTGGCTTTCACAAACGTCCCTCCGTCTGTATTTTTTTGTAATTCAGTATATGAGTCACTCCTTCACTCAACTATTCTTATAGTACTCAAGATTGCTAGTGGGTGGCAGCAGTTTATAACAAATGTACGAATTTATTTAAAAATTAGTTTTTATGGCGGTACTGGCGATCTGTTTACTCCTTCATGTTCGTTGTAGAATACATTAGTTTTCACCAAACAGTACAGCATAATTAAATGTGTGTTTAGTGTGTTGTGGTGTTAGGAAGGGTTCTTCATTATAAATCTGTGAATTTTTAGATGTTCTTTACGATTTTATTAAAATAAGAAAGAGATGGGCATGTCCATGTCTGTCTGTCTTTCTTCCCCAAAGGACGAAGCAATCCCCTTGCATTGTTCTTTCCGCGGGGTTCGTACCAGCGGAAATCTTTCAAGACCTTTACCGTCTTAAGCCTCGTCACCCATCGAGAGCTTCGTCCATCTTACCTTGGCACCCTGGGACGTTGTTTCCCCCCTGTGTTTCAGCCCACGCCTTCTACAGACCTCCAGGCCGGCCGTGCCTCTTTAAAATTACACCCTGGCATTTGTCTTATAACCTTCGGTAACCAAGAAAAACCACAGGGCAGCCGAGTAACATAAGGTAGAACGTACTCCTTGCGTCACCTTAGCCAGTCTTTTTTTTATGGGCAGTCTCGACTGGACAGCTGATCAATCATTCTCGTCACAAATGACTCATTATATAGCGATTAAATAATTATGCAAAGGTCGGTATTGTCTGCCAGAGATGCAATAATGGTAATGATAGCAAAGATGTCCGGCACTTACCTGACATTAGCTGTAGCCTGTTTTACACGACACTTTATCATCAGACAGAGATCGGGAAGGGCTGGAGACAAATGCCTCCCATGAGGTACGCTTCGCCAACACGAAGAGACTTTACGCATTGTGTCGCGGCAGTCATCTAACCACAAGACAGACACGCGAGGAATGGTGGACGTCTAGATTTCGCAGAGCCCGCTCGGAGTAAAGTGCTCGTGAAACAAGACTGGAAGGTTCCACTGTTTGAAATACACCAACAATCCGGAGTAATTATTTACCTACGGCAGTGTAACAGAACAGACGATCCGCAAGTCGTGTCCAAGAAGTTTGCTAGTAGATTCTACACTTTTGCTGTAAGTTTTAGACCTTTTTCATCACGTTTTCTTCCACAGTGTAGCAAAAAACATGAAACTTTCTACAGAGTCGCGTACGGAATTATACCCGATTAGCCGTCCCACTATACGCCATGCAGGCGCTTGGGGGGAGTGGAGGTATAGCTCCTACTCATTCTTAACCTCGGCACTTAGATGGGGGTGAGTGGTCAGCATCACGCCCCGGCCGCGCTTTACCTCCGGGAGAGAACCTCGGTACCCAATGGATAGAAGGCTGGGTGGGCCCCAGAACCGGTCTGGATGCAGAGGCTAAAGGAATAATCCTCTACCCCCGTCGGGGATCGAACCTCGGTCATCCAGTCCGTAACCAGTCATTGTACTGACTAGATGTTTAAATAAAAGCTTTGATATTCATATAATGGTACATATGTATCCATAGAGCACAAAGAACAATTCTGCAGATTTATACTTCAGCTCAAAATGGCCACTGTCGTCATGCAACTTTGGAAAGACTAACGGCTACATTCATGGCCACCCGACAGCACACGTCCTCCGTAAGATCCCCACACATCTGAAGGAATAAGTCACAGGGGCAAATGCCCAGGCTACCGGGTGGCCGCTTCTGTCCATGTCCATGGCGATCAGGATATCAGTGGGAAATCACAT